TCCGCCCCGAGACTGGCGCGGACGGCCCGGGCGCCGCGGCTTCCAAGTTGGAGCGGGGAGCTTGTGCGGTAGGCAGGGACAATGGAGGAAAACGAAAGCCAGAAACTTGAGCCGTGCCTGGCTTGCTCGGCAGACAGCAGGCAGATGAAGGGTAAGTACGAGAATCAGGCAAAGATGGAGTTACATTTGAACGTGCCCCTCGTTGCTGCTTTTTATGACTGGAGGCAGAACGCATGGGAAAAAAAGCATGTCTGTCTTGTGCTAATGGCTCTGCAGATGTCCCTAATACTCTGTGAGTTTAACTTTCTCTTTAGAGAGACTTCGGTCTAACCTTTAAAGCACGGAGCGTGCCGTATTGCTGTCACAGTTTGCAGGACGCTGCCTGGTGCGGAGGGTGCTGCTGCCGCGAGGGGGGGAGAAATAATGTCACGTTCCCTTTAAATGCTCTGCATGCTTCACCTACGGCAGGGAAATAGCTCTTCTTTCATAAAAGTAGCTTTGAGCTCATCTTTTTCTCGGGGTGTCTTTTAAGAGAGGGAGATTCATGGCAGATTGTCACAGGGTTAGTTTACTTTGTGTGAAACCAGTTGGGTTTGTTTTGGAGCGAAGCCAAGAAATTATAAGCGTGGTTTTCACGGCGGGTTAGCTGGGGTGCAGTTGTACGATTAGTGTTGCACTATATATTTTGTCTAAAAGGGAACGAAAACTATTTCCTGGTGAATTCTACGTGGGCTGTTCCACGTGGAGCTTAACATTCAAGTAGCATGACAAATACCTGATCTAATCTATAGCTATTATAGTATTTGTGGAGCACCTGTGAACATTCCCAGTTCATGTGTATTGTATTTCCTCATAGGCACTTCAGAAAAAGTTGTGTTACTGTGCTTCTGTGAAGTAAATAGCGCATGGTCGGGTACATGTGGTTTTAAAAAAAATCACACAAGTTTACGAGTATGTAATATCAGAAAATAGTGCATTGAGAACTTAGGAGAAAAAATAGTCTTTTTTTCTTGGGGGTTCATTAATTGCTTGATGCTCTTTTCAATCATTCTTTAAGTTAAAATACTGGGCAGTGCAAGTCGCGTGCATCTGTGTATGTTCCTGTTTAGTGGGACAGAAATCTTCACTTAAAGGATGTGTCTGAAGAAGAAAAAAAAAAAAGCCTTCAGTAACATATTTCTCCTGTATGGGTTGTATGAAGCTGCCTGAGATACATGTGGAGCTAGAAAAACAAAGGTCTGACCGGACCGATCCTATGATTCCCAAAAATTTTGAATGCTTGAAAGCTCATAACCGAATGTAGTAGTTTTGGCCCATATCCAAAATTTACATTTGAAAGTTCCTTGGAAAGAGAGCTAATTGTAAAGACAGTGGAGTAAATTAGAAACATTCCAAATAATCTCAAATTTGCTGCTAGCATAAATATAACGGAGGTGGGTTTGACTCACACTGTTAAAATTGTATTCTTTTCTTAAACTTTAAGTATTGAATGTGGTTTGCTTCAAGGCTCAGTTTCATAGTATCGGTATGGGTCAGGTCCATACTTGCTCCTTTCTGAAATTATTCTGAAAATGTTCTTCTCTTATGTCACCTAGGTTGCAAAACAAGACTAATTAAAATCTTCACAACATTTAAAGTAATGAAGCAAAGTGACTTTTCTGACCTTTGTAGACTTCATGGAGGGTGTGACTTAGAAGAATTGCATACCAGGACCTGTTGAAGACCTTTTTTCTTTTTTTTTTTTTTTTTTTTAATTTCCAGGTCACAGCAATTAATCCTTCATGATAATCTTCCTGATAATCCTAGGCATGCTGCTTCTACCCTGCAGACCTGGGCCCTTCCTGTAGTTATATCTACTGTAGTAATGGGTGATGTTAAGAAATCTTGAAATTTGTTTTCAGATCAGAGAAGCGACTCAAGTGTAAGGGTTACTCAAGCCTTTGGATAACCAGACCCCTCCGCTGTCAATCAGCAAGTCTTGCTTTTTGTTGCCCTCTAGACTTGCTACTTTATTGAACAGAAAGACCTTCAGCTTTTAGCTTCTGAATACGAGGGAGGGAGAGAGGGAGACAAGCTTATCTCACACCTCCGTGTTTTCTATTGGCTTCTCTTTACTCCTTTTCCAAGGAAGGTACTTGCATAATTTATCCTTTTGCTGCTCTTAGCTCTCTTCTGGGAACCATCACGTGATCCTTCACACATTTCACAGTTATCTGTGGGGATTGATTTTCTAGGCCTATTATCTTCACTTGGAAGATATGGAAAGTTTGCCCACGCTGTTATTGAGCAACTCCAGGATCCAGAAAACCTCTCAGTTTCTCCTGCCTGTAGCAGCACTGTGGCCCACACAGCAGCTGTGGAGCTTATGTGCCCCGAGGTGCACGGCGGGGGTTCACCATCCCAGCTTTCAACCTTGCCATCAAAGTCACTTGTCCCTATCTAGGAAGTGGCCAAGGTAGATTTTTTCAGCAATTACTAGGGGAAAGACCCATATTCAAACATGACAGAGAGTTTGGTTTGCAAAGAAAGTCACGTGCTGCTGTGTGCTGTAATGCTGCGGGATCTTGCTGAATGCCCAGGTCAGCTCGCTAGCAAGACTAGCAATTAGTTTGCATAGCTTACATTCCTTTCTTTTCACTGGTATTTATACAGCATTTTCCAAATATATGAAAGAAAAATAAGAGAATTTGTTGATCTTTCTAATATAGAATAAGAAAAAGATGTTATTTTTGATTCCTTCTCAAGGTTTCACCCAATAACAAACAGTGGTAACACACTTTACTTGATAAGTCTCTTTATGTTCCAAATAATTACCTTTTTCTTAAGCTATTGAAATGACTGAAGTGCAGAGCAGGGAAAGGCTTTGCATGAGAGAGATTTAGGACCTGAAATACACATTCATGAGCTCTCGGTTGTGTTTGTCAGTGTAGGTTTACCTGCCTTCTTGAGGAAGTGCCTGCCACCAATTCGGTGATTGAAACTGCTGCTGTGACCATACTTTAAGGGTTTATACCAAATTGCTGCACTCAGTCACCCACGCTCACACTGACTCCCTCGAGCCTCAAGGAAATCCCTTATTTATGTCTGCTGCCTTTGTTCCAACAGCCTCAGGGATATAACCTCTGGGCTCTGGGTGCAACAAATTAAAGACGGTAAATTCCAGCCAGCCCCATCCCACCTCTTTTTCCTCCCATGTAAAATCCATTGAAATGACTGTGCAGCTTTCAGAAACCATTTTGACCGAGTGTATCTGGAGTAGCCATGCGTACTTCTTGCAAGCAAAACTCTCCTTTTTGCCACTCTTCTCAAACAAGCTGAGTGTACCTGGCGGTTGGTGCTCTGAATTTTCAGTAATCAGTGAGGCTGGATGTTTTTTAATTGAGTTGTGCTTGGAAAAGTGGAGTTTGCGTGTGTGTGTGTACATACACGTGAGGCTGCTGCTCTGAAAGTTTAACCAGAATTGTGCTTCTAAGAAGATCTTAGAAGGTGCTGCGGAGATCAGAGATGGCATTTTGAGTCTGTGTGAGAGCAAAACTTCCCCGTGACCCAAACCTGTTTCCATGGTCGTTCCTGGATCTGTGCTCATCAAAGCGTGGGGCCACCTGCAATCTGGGCTCTTGTCTCCGGTTCTGCTTTTGGGATAGGTTTCCATGAATGCAAACGAGAGGGTGTTGTTGGTATTTTGGAGTCCTTGAGCGTTATAGGGAGCTTACAGAAACATGCAAAGTCTTTGAGGACCTTCCAGGGCCCAGTCCTGTGAAACCCAAGGGAATTGGTTCCTCATGTGCATTGGTGGGGCATCACAGCGGCAGCGGCTCCATCGGTGGAGGATTTACTTTATTACCGTGGCTTGATGGTACCTGGGACTTGGCAAGCACACCAGAAAGCTGAAAGATCCTCAGCATAAAATCCTGAGGCAGGTGGTAGGCAGGGTGTCAAACTGACTGACTGAACCATAAAAAGAAGCGAGTAGGTGCCTGTTTCCCAACAGCAGTGCCGTATAAATGGCAGCACGCGGGGGAGACGGTCGCTGGGAGGATAAAGGGCTACAAGACGAAAAGTGTCAGACGGAGAGAAATAGAGATGTATTAAAAACACGTAGTGGAAGGAGCTTCCAGCTCCTGGGGAGGTGCTGTAAAGGGTTAACACTCACAGGGACGTCTGAGGCTGCCGGTAAAGATGGGGAAGGCCACATCAGACTTGGAGAGGCCTTTTCAATGCTTCTGGTTTTTTTTTTTTTTTTTTTCCTTTGCTGACAAAGGCCACAAAACCTGATCTGGAGTGCACTGACCCATTGCTGACAAAGGAGTGAGGGATTTTTCAAAGGTATTAGGTAACAGGGCTCCAGACTACACTTTTTCATGCACCAGAGGGTTCGTGTTACCCAGTTACCTGAAGATAAGCCAGCACTTACATACCCTCGGTGTCTGCCTGTCTCTTTACAAACGTTGTCACAGTCTTTGGTCTTAAAGTAGATTTTAAAGTTGTAAAATTTATCTGAGTTTTTTTTTCTTTTTATATCGCACAAAACTTGCTTTTATTCTGTTTCTTAAGAAATGGTTTATTGAAAAAGTGATGTAGTATTTTCCAGCCCGCTGTCCTGAGACGTATAAAATCCAAGGGAGATCCGTGAAATTTAAAGCCAGACCACAGTCAGAAATCAGGGAAAAAAGCCTCCAAAACCCTCTTATTATTTCATAGGTGTTTCAGAGCATGCTGAAAACACACTGAGAAAAGATTAAGGATTTCAAATCTCCTTGTCAAAGGAATTTTATCAGTTAGTATCCTCAACGATACTAGTTACGGGGCCATTAAGTGTACTGGAGCCTATTGAAGAAACCTGTTTCTTCTCATGGAAAGCATCCTGTAGATTTTAAAGGTCAGGGAATAAGGACCCTGTCAGATCCTCTTTTCAAGTCACATAGTGGTAAAGATGATATAAAAGGAACATCTACTTTAATGATGCTCACTTTTTTGTGAGGCAATACTGCGGTCGTGTGTTAAAAGTATGTGAGTGCTGTGCATAGCTTATATAAATGATTATTTCCGGGCCGCTTCTTACAGAATGATGCAGAACACGCCATTGAACACTACCAGACTTTTAAAAGAACCTAGCTTTTATATTGATTATTTTCTCTTTCTTACTAATGTGAATGTTGGGATTAAGTTCTTACAATATTTTGGTTTGGGGTTTTTGTTTTGTTTTTTTTTTTTTTTCAGACCAGGCAAAAACCAGTTTGCATGTAACATCACTAGACGATGCAGAATGTCTCCGATCTAAAGAGCTCCTTTCGACCCCAAACAGTCACACTTCTTCTAATTCAAAGTCCACCCGCAACATCCCTCGAAGACATACAGTAGGTGGCCCTCGCAGTTCCAAAGAAATACTGGGAATGCAAACCTCGGAAATGGACAGGAAGAGAGAGGCATTTCTTGAGCATCTGAAACAGAAATATCCCCACCATGCTACAGCAATAATGGGACACCAGGAGAGACTGAGAGATCAGGTATGAAACTCAAATTCGTATCTTGCTTTTTGTTAAACGGTCCTTATAACTTCTACAAAGTTGAGTGTTACCTCATTACAAAAGCTGAGAATGTAACAAAGCATTAAACGGATTTTTTTTTTATATAGCCTAAAATTCAGTTGCTCCCTTGAAATTTGAAGAAACTATGATAAAAATTCAATATTACCTTGGAATTGTTTGTTGAAACTGACATTTTTCTGAAGAGCTTTTAATTTTTTTAGAATATACATGGAGAAGGAGATGAAGGTGAGACTCTTGATCTTAGTATATGGGTCTCTGTCTACTTTTCACAGCTGAAGGGAAAATGTGGAACAGCTGCTAACTTCTGTTACACTTTCAGTATTGGCACCGCTGCCCGGGAGAAAAGAAAATATCCGTAGAGTGTGTCTGTGTGCTTTAGCTGGCTCTGTTACCCTTTCATTTGCTTTCTTTTCTATTTTTGAGTCTTTTAATACAAACAGAACAGACTTATCCACAGGTATCCGCCTCCTCCAAGCTGTTTTGACATCCACATTGGTCTGTCAGCAGCGTACCTTAAGGTGGTTTGCTTTTCGCTTGCCTCCAATTGTTTTCAGCAGCGAAAAGTAGATACAGGGTCAGAGGAGATGTGGCACGCTGATGTATTTCTCAGAGCAGGCATCGTGCCGACCTTCTGAATCCAGGAAATGCCGTGCAAGGATCTGTTCACAGCCTGACTCTGGGCTCTGGTTTTGGGTGCGATGTTAGAGTTTAATCTGTTCAGCTTTACAGGCAATCTATGTTCTATTCCATAATTCATTTTTTTCAATCAAACAGCAGAATTTAGAGTTCAGGCTCAAAAATCTTGTGCCTGTTATTCTCAGTTTAACAAATGATTGACAGCAAACCTTTTATAAAAGTTTTTTTTCTTAGTGTTTTATAGGTATTTCAGCACTAGCAGCAAATTAATGGTAAATAAGGATTAAAAACTGGTTGGCAAAATACTGTACTCTGCTATGGGAGTTCTTAGAATTTCCAGCGTCTTCTGAAGCCTTCCAAACCTTTGGAGATCTGACCGTTGTTATGGGTTTGGAAAGATTGTCATTTGGTAACTCCCCTCTACAACTTCTCTTTGACAGGGTCTCTGGAGACCCCAGGTGCTATCACTGGCTCAAAACACAACTGCTAGAATCCATATGTACCCAGCGAAAATTGCTGCAAGACTTTAGTTCTAACAAGGATGATCTATTCCTTATTTTTAAACAGGTTCCCTCCTTTCCTTTGAAAGTTGTGGGGTTTTTTTTTCTCCCCACTTATCTCTTCTATGAACTTTAGTGACTGTGTGGAATGTGCCGGGTGGTGGATAAAGATAGCATACAAATCAAATAAAGGGGGTGGGAGGGGGGTGAAATCCAGAGATTAGATCTTTTGGAGTCATGTAAATATTTAGTTCCAGTGTTGCAGACACTGCAAACCCAGTTTGAACAGCCTACAGCATTACACCCTACACATTTTGTAATTTGAGCCTTTTCTGAAGGCAATAAATTACAGAAGGAATGCAGTAACTGTTCCTGCTATTTGTTTAAAATGTGTCATCCTTGCTAATTTATTGAGGGTAAAATTCATGCAAATGTCTCCTGCTTCTATTTTTTGATGATTAGACATATGTATTGTATGTAATGAGTGTGAATTTTAAAACAAAATAACTTTAAAATTACTCTTAGAGCATCAAACTATCTTTCCTGGGAATGGGAAAGACTGGAGAATCCATCCATTCAGCATAACTTAAAAAAAAAAGATAAACTGAACAGAAGCCACATTAAAAACATGCAGAAATAAGTTATTCCAGCTGATTGTAAAAGAAATTTGTTTAGTTGAAATGTATCAGCAGTCTGGCCATCAGATGCAGTAACAGATTATTATGGTCATGGCATTACAGTTCAGAGGGGTTTTTTCATACCAGTTGTGTGTATGCGTGCACACATGTATCTGTGTATTTTGTGTGTGTGTTTGTATGTGTGTATATGTATGTGTCTGTGTGTATGTATATATATGCGTAGGTATGTGCATATATATGCGTAGGTGTATGTGTATATATTTATGTGTGTATGTATAATGTAGGCTTACCTAGCTGCTCCATGAATAAGACCATAGTATAATTTTGCTTCAGAGGGTGTGTGTGTGTGTATAGCATATATACTTCCTTTTTTCTTCCTTGTATATGTATGTGTGTAGCAGTAGTGTAGTAGACAAACTACATACACATGTAGCAGATATGTGTACGTAACATCCCATACATCTTACAGATTTTGTATGTGATGTATGTAAGACATGAATGACAATGTTACAATGATTTATTTTCTAAGTTCCTTTCGTCCCTTCTTACTTCTCCAGCTGCTTCAGTATCTGGAAAGTGGCAACATTACCCGTGGTGGGAATTTGCCCACTGTGGGAGTTCTATCAAGGATAATAGCCAATGCGACATCATTTTCTAATCTCTATGTCAAATGGTGCACCTGGAACATAAAGCATCCTGATATTTACAGTCGGGAGATAGTCCCTTGGGTATCATATCATTTGTCTTCCAGGTTGCTCTAAGTCCTGTCAGGTCCATAACCAACAAAAATGGGCCAGAAAATCCAGATTTGGTAATTGTCTCTTTTTTTGCGAACTTTCTTCTCTTGTCCATTTTAACCATCAGTATCTGAGTATGGCAAACTTACCCCTGGTTTGCAGCAAGTATCAGGAAAAAAATGTTCGATGTTGTCAGAACATACTGTATCACCTCCACCAGCAAGGTCAGCTCTGAATTTTGTCCATATCTTCCACTATGTGTTAATGGTTTCCTCCAGGCTTCGTTTATTCAGATAAATCCCTCCTTGGATGTGCCTCCTGAGGACCTGTTTCTACTCTTGATAACCTGCCACAAATCAGAAGTACAATCATGGCCAGGTAAAATGCCAGTGGGGATTACTGGTGCTTAACTAACGTGGTGACCTGAAACCTCCCAGCTGTGCACACAGATCATCCCGCCTCCACCCCCCAGGTTTGTTACCCTGTTTGTGATATCTTATTCTGGAGGAAAGCTCACAGAGACAGGGGCCGTCTTTATTTGCACAAGGGCCTTGGGATACTACAGCAAGGCAAACAACCTGCAGTTAAGCTGGTCTGCGTGGTAAACTGGGGTGTGAGTTTGCAGCAGTTGGGGTTGCAGGCGTGCCATGCCTTGTGCACCCCAAAACGCCCGCAGGGGAACACAGCACCCCGCGGCCGCAGCTCTGTGACCCACAGCCCGGCGGCTCCCCCTCACGCTGCAGGTTTTCCCCCTTGCAAGACAACCCCGCAGCCAGGCACCAGAGCTCCCTCCACCTGGAAGCCTGGAAAGCCAAGGAAAAAAATCTTCTTTTATAGGTAATGCAAGCTTCTGCAAGAGCTTTGAATACCTTGCCTCTGCCAAGGCTGTCTGTGTTATTGAAAGCAAGGAACTAACGTAATCCCCAGGGAAGTTAGAAAGAAAAAAGAGAAAGGAAGGAGGAAAAGAATCTTGGTCTTCTGAAGTTTGAGGTGGCGTGAATCATCTGCTGCTGAGCTCATGGCAGGACGCGGTCACTGCTTAGGTGGGGTTGACTCCGGTCAGCAGCGAAGGAAAGAGCAGGAACAAGTACAAAAGCTGGGCCAGTGGCTGCGAGGATGAAAAAGAGTTTGCAATTAAGAGGTTAAAATGCTTACCTGGCCATGGGAGGGGAGTAATCCCTGCCCATGAACCTGTTTTACAAGTCACCTCGCTAAAAAAAAACCTTTCTAAGGGGCAGAGAACAAAAATGAGTGTGCAGAAGTTTTTCAGAGCTGGAGCTTTTGAGCGTGCCTTTAGAAAATGAGCTGGAAGATGTTTGCCACGGCTTTCTTTTGTTGTTGTTTGACTAGGAAATACATGGGGAGATGTGGAAGGGTCAGCAACAACTCCAGCATTTCAGCCAGTGCCAACGAATTTGTTGGCAAACAAAATTAGATTTCCATCAATTTAAAAAAACCCAAACCCTTCTGGTGCGGGTGCAAGGCTGAGTGCCTAGAAAATGGTGGTTGAGGGTTTTTTTGTTATGTTCAGTTAGGTCTGAACATGACAGGTAACTCTGGCATCTGGGCAGGTGTGGTTAAGGTTACCATGGAGATCCATGATGTCACGCTTGATAGAGCATGTCAAGACAGCTAATCTAACATGTAGATGTTCAAAAAGTCCCATAGGCCAGAACTAAGCTTTATGCAAATAACGAAGTTAAGCTGCAAAAGGGCGAAAGAAAACACAGCTAAGATATGGTGTGCGTTTTACCTGGCAGCTTGAAAGGATTATTACAGGCTTCATCATAAATTAAAACTTTTGGAACTAAAGGAAGAGGATTTCAAACCATCTCTGGCCTCACCTGTGGAATCTCACATTTCGGTAAATAAGCCTCTTTCTCTCTCTGCCCTCGCTGTAAAAAAATGCTTTTGAAATCATGGAGTTTGCTTCACCACGTTGTTCCTCCTGGCAGCAGGGCTGAGTCAATAAAGCAAGTTTTCTGGCATGGCATGTTCCCTTTTCTCTTTTGAAAGTGGGTTCTTTATTGAATGAACTGAGAATTCGGAATTATTTGAAAGGCATTGTAATGTATTAGGTTGATTATATGAATCATGCTGCAAAAATGTCCTAGGTAGTGTTTTGGAGGAGAAACTAAGAATGGAGACACTTATTTATTTGTAGATTATTGCCAGATGTCTCTCCTTTAACTGTTAAAATAGAACCCTAAAATTACAACAGCATTTATTCCAGCATTTGATGTCTGCAAAAATACTGAGGCTTTTTTTTTAATGGATCGTAGTATCAGTTGGTTAAACAGACTTTGAGTATATGCTTTGATATCACAGGGTAACGCTGGGGCATTCCTTAACAGATTTTTTTCCTGGGTAAAAGTACATTAGTGAAGGATAAACATATTTGGAGGTAAAAGTCCAGCAACAGAAATGCTATTGGGACTTTTGGGTTT